ATTCGCGGCGGCAGCGGCAGCGGAGGACGAAGACCCCGTCCCGGCGAGCTCGTCGGACAGAGGCGAGTGCTGATCGGCGGCGGAGCTGAAGCTTCTTTTCCGTGAGCCTCCACGGGGACTGCTGGCTGCGGCGGCTGAGGCGGCCGACGAGGAGTGACGGCCATCGGGAGCCGGACTGCCCGGGCCGGGGAGAGGACGGCGATACTCCGGAGCGTCCATGGCCGGGAGAGCAAACGCGACGGAGAGTCGACGGACTTTGCAAGGGTCCACTCGCTCCGTGCTCTCCTTTTCCTGTTATCTTTGGTTTTTTTGCTTTTTCTGATTTGTCTGCTTATGCCCGGTGCCCGGTGGAGCGACGAAAACGCACGCACGCGGTTACGCCCGCGCGTTGCGCACAGTGAATGGGCGGGTTACCTTGGGCGGAAAGGGTTCGAGGAGGGGACAGGATGGAAAGTCGGAAAAGAAGGAAGAGAGATGGGACAGGAAACTGGCGCAACTCGACGGAAAACGGAGGGGATTTGTCTGGGGAAAGACAAGACTTTCTGACTTGGGGGGAGGCGGGGGCCGCTACGACGACCAGGGACAAGGGTGTCTTTTCCCCCGCTTCCTCCTCCTTTTGCTGCGGGGGAAGCACTAGACGCACATAGTCTGTCCCGTTTGTTGACTTGATAGTTGCTGCGTGTTCGGTTCGTGGGTATGCGACAGATCCGGGGTGGTCCGGGGTGACCCGGGTTGGTGCTAGATCCGACACCGAGGCGGATTCTTAGGATTTCTGGGGGAGAGGGTCTAGAGACTGCTAGAGAATGGGGTTGAGCCCGGGTTTCCCCGTCACCAGAAGACGCCATGCAGCAACTATGAACGTAATGCAATCATCGACACAGTGGATGAGCAGGCAGCATTTTCAGACAGCCACTATCACCCGTTGAGTTTCCGCATCTGACTTGTTCGGCACGGCTTCCAGCTCCCAAGATAACATCTGCATAAGGGTTGCAACACATCACGATAGCTCCCTACAACCGATCATTGCCGGTAAAGAAACTGATATTTCTCAAGAGTCAGGGATTCCACCGGGATGTCTCGGCATGTGCCAAGAGCGAGTCAGTTGTCAGACATCAGACTTGAGAGGCGTAGCAACTAGAGATTGCTCAAGGGGCTTGGCAGGCACATGCTTGGCACCTGAGAAGTACACGGTTCAGTTGTGAAAATGATGCATACGCAACGACCAAGAGAGACAAGTGCACATGAGAACAGTCTCACCTTAGATACTTGGCCCTCGGATTCATCAATCGGCACGATTGAGGTTTCTTTTCGTAGAGTGAGGAGAGCCTCAAATTGAGTGTAATGGATTTTGTGCTACGACATGAAGTTCATTGGCCAACGAAAATCAGCGACTATTGCAAAGGTCAAAACCAATTCATTGATGTGCTAGAGTTGACAGGAAATATTCCCTTCTCTGGCATTGAGCAAGAAAGTGGTTTCTGAGTCTTGTTAGGCTTTTCATAGACTCGAGTCTCTGGGCAACAGATAGGTTCATGATGTGCCAACTCTCAGAGCTCAACCAGGCTTTTGCAAAGTTGAAACACATTACGACTCAAAGGTCACTGTAGCGCAGGGAGGCAAAGCTCAGGTGTTTGGGCCAGAAAGGATTGCTGTTCATTATCGGCATCAACAATCGCTATTTACTCGGGGAAAAAAAATAATAAGTGTCAAGAACATTTTCCACACGCCGCGCCCATTGTATCCTCCAAAGCCATCAACTGGCCACCAAGGCCCGATCTGTACCATCCATCGTCCAGAGCCTCTGAAGAGCCTCTTGGAGAGCTCTTACAAAGTGTACTTGAAGTGAGGGCTCTTGTCGCCCATATCCATAAGCTGCTGCTCCGTGTACTTTGCCCGAATCTCCTCCTCGGACATCTTGGCCTTCCTGTCATTCCCCCACTTGTAGCTCCACTCGAGCAGCAGCGCGACAATCAGACCGCTACCGCCAAAGGCCAGCGACAGGCCGAAACCGGTGTAGTACTTGGGCTTCTCGTTGTCGAGGTACATGTAGCTGCCGATGATACCACCAATGTTGCCCACGCAAATATTGAAGGCGACACCGATGGCGCGGCGCGAGGCTGGCGCGAGGTTGTTTGCCGCCCAGGAGGAACCCGCGGGCTGGATGGGGTAGATACCCATGCAGGTGATGATAACGCCGACCATGGCTCCCGCAATGTTGCCGGACAAGTCACCCTTGAAGGAGATGATGACGCCGTAGCCGATGGTGATGAGGCCCATGGGGATCGCGACGAAGGGCATGCGCCAGTAGTATCTGTCCGACAGGCGAGCGAAGAAAATAGCAGAGGCAGCACCGCAAAAGTACGGCGGGACCGTCATAAGCTGCGCGGCCGTGTTGTTGAAGCCCATGGCCTTTGTGATGGTAGGCAGCGTGAACTTGGTACCGTAACTGCATGCCGAGGTAGCGAGAAGCGCCCACGCCTGCATGTACAGCCGCCAATTCGTGACAACGGCCTTGAGATCGTGCCACTTGAACTTGTCTTCTTGCTTCTCGTCCTGGAAGCGGCCTCCCTGCTTGATGAAGTGCTGGATCTCGAGGAAGCGGATCTCTTCGGGCGTAAGCCACTTCCCGCTGAGCGAGGGGCGGTCGATGAGGAAGAAGAAGGTGGCGATGCCGAGGCCGACGGTGAAGATGCCTTCGAGGATGAAGATCCAGCGCCAGCCTTCGTAGCCGCCTACGCCGTCCATCTTTGCGATTGCGGCGGCGAGGAGGCCGGAGAAGGCGCCGGAGAGGGCGGATGTGCAGTAGAACCAGGCGATGCGGGCTGCGAGGTCGCGACTATTCAGATGGTCAGTAGAGGTCTTTTTGGAAAGGAGCCAAAGTGGCGAGGGGTTTACTCACGGCAAGTACCAGAATGTGCAAAGGTAAACGGCGCCAGGGTAGAAACCGGCCTCAAAGACTCCGAGGAGCAGACGAACGCTGAGAAGGCCGGCAAAGTTCTTGACAACGCCGTGACAGGTCATGATGACGCCCCAAATCGTTACGAGGGTACCGAGGTAGACGGAGGGACGGTTGAACTTTTTGAGGATAATGTTGCTAGGGACCTCTACAAAAGTAATTAGTCCCTTTTCTACATGAGGCCGGGGACATTGGCAAAGTCTGGGTGAAAGGGGCTACAACGTACCAAGAAGGACATAGGGAACGAAGAAGAGACTGAGGGCGATATTCCACTGAACACCGCTGAGCCCCAGGTCCTCGGCCAGGCCTTCAATCTTGGCGTTGCCAATGTTGGCGCGGTCGAGATGGGAAATGAGGTAGAGAACCGCGAGCATCGGCACCAAGCGGACGTCGACCTTTTTTCTCAGCGTTAGCAACCAATCTGATTCTCTTTTCATTTTCTGTACTATGACGGGAAATTCCCAAAAGACTACACTCACCTTGCGAATTGTCGTCTTGCGCTGCTCTGGCGTGAAATTGGCATAAAACTCGGCATCATCCTCACTCAGCCCCAGAACGCGCACATCGTCGATTATGCGCACTACAGGCGCCTTCTCCGAGCCGGACCGGGCATCGTCGTCCCTGTCGTCGACAAAGGATATTTCGGGCTTGTCGGTTGTCGACATTTTTAGACTGTCGTTCAAGGTTGTCGGCTATGGTGGTTCCGTCTGTAGCCGTGCCGTCGGCGGTTATGCGATGATGATACACTTGACACTTTAAAGAAGAGAAATGAAGTTGGAGGGATGTAGAGGAGGAGGAGGAGGGGGAAGAGGGAAGAAAAGGGTGCTTCTGGCCTAGAGAGAAGAGAGAAGGGGAAATTGAAGCATCAATCTCGAGATGTAGGTTCATATGTAGTTGGACGACTACGAAGTAGAGAGTAAGGTAGTCGAGACTACCGGGAGGCTCCAAGAAACACATAGGCGTACAAACCCGAAAGGACGACCAGGTACAGACTTGGCGTAACCACGGTGTTGGATCCTCCCAGGAAAGACACGCTACTCCAGGACACTACTACCACCTCTGGCTCTTGGCCCGGCTCATTCTCCCTCTCTCTCGGTTTCTGTCCATCTCGCCCATGCTACCCTGCTCCGTTGCTCTAAACCCCCCCCCCTCAAGCCCGTGATGGCTGTGTGGGGTCCCCGCAATCGCGGAGACCCTGCCGCTGTGGATTTGTTAACCCAATGGACTCTGTAGATTAAGTGCAGTGGATAGCAGGTTGAAGCATTGAGGGAAGGTTTGCATATGCTGTGACTGAGTGGATGTGTTTATCCGTAGAAAAAAGTCGACGGATTTCCAAACACACACACAAAGGAGGGTGCCACTTTTAGTCGAATGTTGCTGGCGTTCTGTCATGTAAGAAGAAGAAGGACATGACGGATTTGTACCCACTTTGGATTGAACTCTCCGGTAGCATAGCTGGGTGTCTCTGGCTGGCGCGACGGACTTGTGTCTCTAGTCTTGTTGCCTGTTTTGCCATCCTTGCTATTTTCGAGAACAACATGGCAAAATGATCTCAACATGACCTAGGTTATCGTCAAATCTCGGCGATATGGCAGGGAAACTATCCGAGATAGTCACCCTTCCACTTGCGGTTCCGATAGAGAGGTTGAACTAACGGACTTGTCAACCATCCGACAAGACACACAATCCCGATGTCTCTCGCGAAAAAGCTTCGTTCATCACACAGACACAAATCAAAGACAGAACAGCTCTATCCGGTAGTTGGAGGCTGCGGAGAATAAACCCCAGCCAACCAGCCACCGCGACAGCAATGCTTAAACCCCAAAAACCCCCGAAGAGGATCTCTCTGGATGCAACCCCCCCCCCCTCCGCCTCCGTCACCCACTTGCGCCTTGCGCCACTCTCCTCACATGCCGCGCCAAACTGCCCCGACTCGAATCCTCCCGTCTTCTCCCGCGCCGACTACCCCATTCGTACGACAGCCGCGGCCATCACTTTCACACATAGGTACCCTCGTGCGGGGAAAGTGGTGATGCGGGGGACGACGACTTTGGAGAGAGTCGTCCGTGTGCTGACAGTCGCATCATCTCGGTGGGTTCATGTGTGGATTCTGGACACTCAAGATAATGCACGCGAAGAGAAAGAGCAAGTTGAAGCGGATTAACAATTTCGTTAGAGATTCATATACTTCGTCGGAATTAAATACATGCATTACAGCATTACGTTCTTTCGTCCATCATTTCGTAGCCCAGTCTCATCCAGCTCGACACTCGGTGCAGCAAGAGACAAGAGCAATCAATACCCCACCCTCCGCCATCAAGAGCACTCTACACCTGCACATCCTTCTCAGAGTGCGAGACGCGAATCTGCTGATGATAGTTATTCATCGCCTTCTCGTCGACGGCGCCCTCCTCAAACACGTCGACCGTGGTGCCCTCGAACTTGCGCGCGCTAATCTTGTGCTCAAACAGCTTGTCCAGCTCGGCATAGGTGCGGCCGCGGGGCTCGGGGACGCGGAAGTAGGTGTACACGCAGCAGAGGAAGCAGATGCCGCCCCAGAAGAAGCCCGTGTAGTTTTGCCAGTTCCACGCGCTGGGGTTGAGCATGTACGGCGTGAGGACGTTGTTGATGATTCCGACAATGTTGCTGCGGGGCGGTGAGGTTAGCGCCTCTGTTCAATCGCGCCGAGGCGAAGGGGGGCGGGGGCAGAAGATAAAACTTACTAGAGGTTGCGTCCCAAGACAACAGTCTTGATCTGCAGACGACGCGACGGCAATTCACTGACGAGCGAGTAGCACACAGTGCCGACGGTGAGCTGGTAGAAGAGAGCCCAGACCATCATGATGCTGCCCGTCGCGAGCGCGCCCTGGTCACGGTGTTCGGATGGCACAAGGCCCAGGAAGCCGAGGATCATGAGCATGCTGCAGAGACCGCAGAGACCATAGAGGTACAGCGTGCGACGGCCGATACCCCACGACATGAGGAACCATGCGCCAAAGACACCGACCATGTTGATGGCGTACTGGCCGAGGGCAAAGTTGTACGAGTTTCTGGTGGAGAGACCGGCTTGCTTGAGGAAGTATCTGCGTGCATCATCGTGTTAGTCCGTGTAGGTAGATGAAGCGACGGAAGCGCAATCGAGACAGAAGAGACTCACGTAGAGTAGTTGGAGAACGAGTTACCGCTGAGGTTCTGAATGGCCCAGACCATGCACACAATCTCGGTGCGGCGCAGGTCGACGCCCTTGAAGCAGTCCAGGTAGGATGCGCCCTCGGTGATCTTCTCCTCAATCGAGTTGGTGTGCACCATCATGGCGACCGTCTCGTCGGCGTCGAAATCCGTCTCCTTGTCCAAGCTCGTCAGGCGCAGCAGCGACTTCTTGGCCTCGTCAATCTTGCCCTTGCGCACCAGCCACCAGGGCGACTCGGGCGCAAAGTAGATGCCAATCGCCAAAGGCACCGGCCACATCCACTGCAGGGCGTAGGGAATGCGGTACGCCCACTCGTCGTTGCGGTCGAGCATGGAGACGATGACGCCGATACCAATCTCCTGGCCCATACCCCAGCAGAAGTTGACATAGGTGGTCAGGTAGCCGCGCAGAGCGACGGGGCAGACCTCGGATGCGTAGGTGATGCACAGCGTCTGGAAAACACCCCACGGGATACCGCAGAGGATCTCGGCGGCGAGCAGAGTCTGGACGTTTTGCGCGGTAAAGAAGATTGTGGTGAAGCAGGCGACAAGCAGAAGGCAGATGATGACGGTCCACCTGTAGCCGAAACGTTCCGAGACCCATCCGTTGATGAAGAGGCCGATGATCTCGCCGACGGTGGCACCGTTGCTGAGGCCGGCTTGCCACGGCGCGGGGACCTGGTAGGATCCGTCTGAGGTGAGGACGCCGTACTTTTGGTTGAATTGCGGAAAGGCGTAAAAGTTGCTGACGAGACTGATATCGTAGCCCTCCATGGCGATGCAGGTGGAAATCAGCACGCTCCAGGCGATAGCCTTGGGGTAGAGCTTGATACCCTGGAGCAGAGTCATCTTGTGTTCCTTCTCTGTAGCCGCTTTGGCATTCTGAACAAAGTTGCTGGCGAGCTTGGCCGAGTGGTGATCGCCGATCTCGGCCGAGACGCGGTCTGGGGCGGCGGACACATCATCGTACGCCGATTTAGACTCCATCGTGAATGGTTTTGGGGGGGAGCGCGGCGCGGAGTGGCGTGGCGGAGTTTGTTGCTGATACTGTTCTCAAAGAGAAAACTGAATTCTCTCGAGGATCTGTGGCGATGCACACACTATCGCGTGCTGCAAAGGAAGATTGCGCACTCAGCGTGGAAATCGTCGAGCGTTGCCAAGGCTGCGTTGGGCGGTGATGTGAGGAAATAAGAGAGCAGTGAGAAGCGGCCGCGCTGGGAGATGCTGCTTGCTGAAGAGAGAGGATCGTCGAGTGGAGATTGGGGGGGGAATCAACGGAAGTTATATAACAACAAAATATTCGCGCGCGACGGGAACGAACGGTCTGGATTGTGTGGGACGATGGCTACGGCTTCGATGGGAAAACCCACAAAAGAAAGGGCTCGAATTTTTTGACGAAGTGCGAAAGACTGGGGCCGGGACATTGACATGTCTGGCTGTTTGATTTGATTTGTTCAGTACGGTATCGCGCGTCCTTTTTTTTGGTCAAATAAACAAGGGCAATCTTCCGAAAGACCAGTCGTCAGCTAATGAAGGATGAGGAGAATCCTGTGCCGAGGAGACCATGGACTGGTCAAAGTTGCCGAAGCCGTCGCAACTTGCAAGGGCCTTTGACTCCTTGGGGGGTCATGGAAGAGCAGAAAAGGGAGCTAGCCATTGGGCAGATTGGTTCTCGTCGGCGAGGGGTACCCGTTCATCTTTCGATGGCAGATGCTGGGGTAATTTGGACCTGGGCGAGATAAGGTAAAGCGACGTGACATTTCTGTCGTCGGGTGTCGCCAAAGGGGGATTGGCGTGTTTTCTGTGTCATGACAGGGTGCGTTCGACATCTGCCATGCCGTCCGTTGGGACGGAGATGGGAACCCTTTGCTACCATTGAGTTTGTCTGGGCAACTTTAGTGTGCGGGGGAAGTTTGAGCGTCGCCATGTTGGTGGTGTCGAAATGGTCAGCTGAGCGGCCGTTGAATCGTTGGTTGCGTGTAGACCCAAGCCATCGGGAAGAAGTCCATGGCTGTTGCTGCAAGGGAGGGCGGGCAAGAAAAGTCCAGGTTCAGCCTTCAGGTGAGAGAGAGGGAGGGAGAGAGAGAGAGAGATAGAAAGAAGATAGAGTTGGCGCCGGTAATGTGGGAGAGAAGAGCGGACGAATGAAAAGACAATTATTGGGAAGCTCGTTCGACTTTGTTGAAGAACCAGAGGCCCGGGAACAATTGAATCCAAGAGCCCAGAAGAGCCAACAAGAGTCTTCAAGTATCTGCAGACCTTGGTGCCATTGGCACAGTTGGGTGAAGTACCGACCGAGAAGAGAGAGAGAGAGAGCGCTGGGGAACCGTCGGAGAGGCTCGGCCATCGGCGTCTGCTGGCCTTTTGAGACTTGCCTGAAGTGCCCAGAAACTGACAGAGTCTGAACTGCTAAAAAGGGGTCCCTGTGTCTGTGCCAAAACTGAGTGTGTGTGTGTGTGTGTCGTGAGTGGAGAGGTGTCGTCGGATGTGCTGCTGACCAACTCGCATCCCCACACACGTCACTGGTCGTCGCCCCGGACTCAAGCTTCAATTCAATTTCAGATCTGCTCAAAAATCGAGGGGCTCCCCCAGATCTTCTCCATCTTCCCCGGGTTTCAATCATTTCATTGCAGCCTCAACTGGGGGCTCGGAAAGAATTGCAAGTGGCACAAGTGCCATGCCGTCTCCCGAAGCGCCTGATTCGCTAAGTGCCACGACCTGGTGAGTGAGACTCTGCTGATCCACCCGAGGAGGGGCGGGCCTCTCGGGGAAAAACACCTGTTTTGGAGGCGTCGATTTGGAGGCCATTCGCACCGACGGCGACACGGACGGCGGCGCCGCTCACCTTGCGCGCGCGCGGTGGAGGGGAATGGGGCAGAATGGGCGAGATGAAGGCCGTGAAGCTCTCACCGGGGACGGCAAGGTGAAGCTCGAGGTCACCGTCGTCGTCGTCATTGCTGTTTCCTCTGACGAAGAGTGAGGTAGTCGGTTGCAGTGGCCCTGAACTCGATCTGATAGAGAGAAGGCCTGGGAGATGCGCAGACTCTGACAGAGAGATATTGTGATCGAGAAAGAGCTTGCTGACTGGTATTTCGTCGCGCAGCGAGCAGTGTCGCGAGCAGCATCTGCGATGTGATCGAGTGCTGCCCATCTGCGGGCGGTGCTTGATGACGGGGCGAGAGTGCAAGAAGGGCTACAAGTTTCGCGCACCCAAGCACGCCGTCTTCAAAGAGAGCCACAAGTGGCCTGCGCCGCCGAAGAAGCTCAAGTTCATCGACGAGACTCGTGGTGTCGAGCTCGGCGAGGACCTCGACAGCAACGAGTCCGTAAACGACTCGGCACCGGACGTTGACGAAGCAGGCACAGAAGCCGCAACAGACGTCGCAACAGAAGTCGCTTCCACGTCACCGGGGACGGCCACAGCCGTAAATTCGACAGTCTCGGAGGACCAGCGTCGGCCGTCAATATACGCAGCAAAGGCGGCAAGCTGGCCTTTGCCTGGCGACGAGAGCCGGCCCGGCGCCAAAAGCGTTGGTGATGGCGGCGACGTGGTTGACGAGCCTGTCCAACCTCCGCATCGAATATCGTTGAGTACGCCCGGTGCCGACAACCATAGCCAGCACGGTAGCCATCGCGAGCACTCGGGCTCTGTCGTGAGTCTGCCGCCCATGCAATCCTTGTTGCCGCCGTTGGAGGGCATATACACCGATCGACCGGTATGGCCCATCCATGGGCGAAAAGAAGCCACGCTGTTCCGTCATTACGTGGATAAACTTGGGTTCTGGGTATGTTGAAACCACTGCGGGATGGCTTATTTGTTGGAAATGGCGAAGAGACCATACTGACCGGATAATCAGCTTGACGCGTGTGATCCATCTAGACATTTCGAAGTCGAAGTGCCGCAACGGGCCGGTTCGTGTCCCATCTTGCTCAACGCAATCTTCGCCCTGGCCTCGAGACATCTCAGCCTGACGAGCGCATACGACTCGCTAGCATCGAATCGGTATCACGAGCAGTGCCTCAACTACTTGATCCCGCTGCTGGACCACGCAGGCACGGTGTCGGACGAGAACTTGTTTGCTGCAACAATCATACTTCGCGTGCTGGAGGAAATCGATGTAAATACCCTCGGCCAAGACACGCACGGCCACCTCCTCGGAATCCACGCCTTTGTCAATGCTGGAGACCGATTCTTGATGCCGGGAACTTTAACGGCGGCATGCTTTTGGGCGGGTTTGAGGCAGGAGATCTACAGCGCCGTCATCAACCAGCAGGTGGTCCGAATGAACCTCGGTCATGCCATTGTCGACCGATCCACGACCCCGGCCGACGATTTTATCTGGGCGAATCGTGCCATTGTCCACTGCGCCGACGTTCTCAACTTCTGCTTCGGGTCCGAGGCGGGGTCGGTGCTGCAATGGGGCCAGCTGGAAATGGCAAACAGAGAATGGAAGAATGCGCTACCACCGTCGTACACTCCCATCTTCTTCCGGGAGAGGACAGATGAGGAGGCTTTCCCCGAAGTATGGTACCAGAAGGCGTGTCATAGTGAGTATACCCCCTGGTCCGATCCCGGCTGGTCTGGCCTGATCTCGGAACTGCTTCCGGACATCGAGACTCTCTCAGATATCTGACAATCCGAAAGGCTGCCTCATGGCTGCTCTCATCTTGGATAGACCTCCCGCTTACTAACCACTTCTTGGTAGTCATCGCCGTTCAACATCACATTCTCGCCGAAATGTACCTCGTGCTGTTCAACCCGAGCATACCACGAGTCGGTGGCGGCCGTAAAGCCGCGGAAAAAAGGTTGACGCAGCAGATTCAGGATCTTCTGCGGAGTCTTTGTGGAATTGGCATGTGCAACCAGTGGTCACCGCCGGCCATGTTCACGGCGTGTATGGGTATAGCTATTGGTAAGTTTTGCTTTTTTTTTCATTTTTTCTTTTTTCTGTGTCCTCTGCCTTCCTTCTTCGTTGCCTTTTCCCTCTTTCTGCAATTCTGGAACTCCAGCCTCCAGATGAGTAGGTATACTGACACAAGGCCCCTCCAGCCGGTGATCGATTCGACACCAGACATGATCAGGAAGCACTGCTGAAGATGCTCAGCATCACCGAAAAGGCCCACGCAAGGCCCACGACAGCGGTGCGGGATCAGCTGATGCACGCATGGGGGTGGATGGATGGGGAAGCAATGAGCGAGGACTGAGCAGGACTGGATTGGGTGACCGCCTTCCTCAGACCGCAGAAGCTGGGGTAGGCGGAGTCCAGAGACACGCATAGGCGAACTGGACTGGCAGGCCAGTCGCTGAGAAGATGTTTGACAAAGGTCTCTTTGATTGGGTCACGGTAATGACTACTGGCCAGACACGAGAGAGATCGCCTCTCACTAGGACTGGATATGGATCACGATAGACTCGGCGCATGGGACTGGACTGAACTGAACCGGACGGGACTGGACACGTCCCCCAGACTTGGATTTCGCTTGGTTTACAAACTGTGGATACCCGACTTGATAGTGTAGATGTGTGATGATGCTGTGTTTGTAGCGGCAGGATATCGCAGGCCTGGCCTGGCTGGAACAGAAGTATAGCTTGCGATGCAGGCTGAAAGCAATCGGACATATTTCGCGATTCCATCTGCTTGGTTCCTTCTTGTCCGCGGGTTATCGCTAGCCAACCTGATCTCGGGAGTTTCCAATTTCGAAGGTGGTGATGCTCCTCACGGGCTTCCCGCACGCCGCGTTCCATTCAGATGGACATGTACCCGTACGGAGTACAGATGGATGAGCGTCGTGTATGCCGGCTGGTCTGAGCTTGAGACTGATATCTGCCGTGGCACGTTGGAACACGTAGGGACCATCCAGATCCCGCGGGGTTGTTTGGGGAGCGTGGGGAAGCCAGCAGGTCTTGGACAAGCTCGCCCTGGATTACCGTCGGGGACGGCATTGGGAAGGAGGCCCCGAAGCCGTGACCAAGATTGATGTCAGACCTGTTCGTTTTGGGCGAATCGAAGGCTCCGAAGCCAAGAATCTCGGGAGAAGGCCGGGACGCCGGGTGACGGTGAGGAGAGAGGTCTGGGCAAGGGACCACTGGGATATCCCCTCCGGCAAGTGTTCTATATCCAATCAGTAGGAGGCCATTACTGAAAAGAGGAGAGGAATCCGCGGGGATGGAGATGTCCTGCATTGAGCGGGAACGGCGTTGGTTGGCGTTGGCAGGGGGCGTCGAGGTCTGCGTGGCAGCCAAGTGCCAAAAGAGGGAATAATCAAAAATAGTCTGCAAATCCCATGATGTTAGCGGCGGGGCCAGAGGTGGTTGAAGACTTGAAGGGTGTGACCGGGGGAATCGCGATTAAGCTTTGCCGCAGGAAGAATCCAAGATTGGCAGAGACACAGGGCGCCGTCACATTGCATCGTTTCTGGCCATCCCGGAATGCGGTTGGCGTGGAGTCGTGGAGTCTGGAGTTGGGCGAAGCGGGATGAAGGTGTGGAAGAAGCGTTTGGACTAACAAGGATGGTTGTCGTGAATCTCGGGATTCTTTGCCCTTATCGTCGAGAGTTGCCGAGAGGTCAAAAGTTTGGAGATTCCGACGACTTGCACGAGTCTCCATAGCATCCCGATTGAGACTAGTTGGGAACAGACAGAGTCATGTGAGATCATGTGACCGGGAAAATTATCTCCTTTGGCTCCGGCGAAATAAGAATGGGTCCATCCGTTCACCTGGGTGGGGTCCTCTTCCAGCAAAGATTCGGCGATTTTCTCCTCTTCCAACCGCGCAAAACCTGGAATCCCCTCATGGCGTCGCCCTTTTCGTCGCAGCATCGCAACTTTCCATGGGCTCTCCACAGATCTGAAATCTCGCCCCGTCTTTCCTGCTCCATCTGGATCATGACCACTCTCCGCGGGGCATATTCTGCACAGGCAAGACAAGGGCCATGCGGATGACGACCCGTGGATCCTCACGGCAAAAACGTCAACTCGGGCTGCTTGTCCAAGTTAGCCTTTTGCCCACCACACCCGGTGCTGCCATGACGAGGTACTTGGCCCGAATACCGCACCTGGCGGGCAGCACCAGGTACCTCGCCATGTCCGAGTTTTTTCCCGTCCAACTCCTCCGTCACTCTTGTCGCCCTCCATAGCCATTATCTTCTGTGATCTTGTCTTCAACAACATATTTAAAGACTATCTCCAGATACCCATCTCTCCTCTTCTTGCTCATCATCAAACCAGTCTTCAGCATTTCGAGTGATACCCCATTTGAAACAGCATCATCTATCGACTCTTTTCATTATATCGAGTGTAATCCTTTATAGACTTTTTGTACCAATTTTCTGAACCATCGTCACAATGGCAGCTGCCGTCGCCACCCCTTACGTCCGCACCGACGGACACGCCCTCGAGGAGACCACCGATTTTGTCGAGGAGGTCAACATCCTCAAGGACCAGTACAACAAGGCACAGAACGACTACGAGGGCGAGTCCAAGTTCGACTCTGAGAAGGACAAGACCGCCTTCCGCCAGTACGAGGATGCCTGCGACCGCGTCAAGACCTTTTACAAGGAGCAGCATGAGAAGCAGACCGTCGAGTACAACCTTGCGGCCCGCGAGAAGTTTGCCATCGACCTCACTGGCAAGATCCCCTGCCGCGATGAGATGACCATCTGGGAGGCCATGGAGAAGCTCAACACCCTCATCGACAACTCGGACCCCGACACCGAGCTTTCTCAGATCCAGCACTTGCTCCAGACCGCCGAGGCCATGCGCCGTGACGGCAAGCCCCGCTGGATGCAGCTTACCGGCCTGATCCACGATCTCGGCAAGCTCCTCTTCTTCTACGGAGCCGAGGGCCAGTGGGATGTCGTCGGTGACACCTTCCCCGTCGGATGCGCCTTTGACAACCGCATTGTCCTCCCCACCACCTTCGAGGGCAACCCCGATATCAACCACCCCGTCTACAGCACCAAGAACGGCATCTACGAGCCCGGTTGCGGTATCGAGAACCTGATGATCTCTTGGGGCCACGACGAGTACATGTACACCGTTTGCAAGGAGCAGTCCAAGCTTCCCCGTGAGGCTCTTGCCATGATCCGCTACCACTCCTTCTACCCCTGGCACCGTGAGGGCGCCTACCGCGAGTTCATGAAGGAGGGTGATGAGGACCTCCTCAAGGCTGTCCTCGCCTTCAACCCCTACGACTTGTACAGCAAGTCTGATGACGCCCCCACCGTCGAGGAGCTTAAGGTATGTCACTTAATTTTACTCGATCTCAAAATTGACTCTGAGACTAACAACTCGACAGCCCTACTACATGGAGCTCATTGATGAGTACTTCCCCAGCAAGGTTATCAAGTGGTAGATACGTCCTTTCAGATTATCATGTCACGACGGGTACGAAATGAGATGGGACTTTTTTGGCATACACGCCCTGGGACATACGTTGCTGTCACCAGAGGCGCGGCGTTTTATTTGGGATATTTGATGGATACATCTGAGCGGTCTTTGTGTGCGAATGAGATAAAAAACATGGCCATGAGAAGAAGCCTTGACGAGTCAACTGAAAGTACTCGAGTTCAGGAAGTCTAGAATTTCATTGATAGACTAGCGCTCTGAAGAAATTGTTGCAGCGCAAAGATCTAGACTGTGTGATACCATCTTCGTCTGTCTTTTCAACCATTCTGTCGGACAAATGCCGTTGTGAACGCCTTGATACGTGCTAATTCCATTCAATGGTGCCACTCTTCACGGCTGTTACACTTATCTCATCCCACCAATCCATCCAGCTTCTGTGACATGGTTGACAGTCAAAACTCATCGTGTCTTTTGGCCCTAGAACTTCATCATCCGTCAACATACTTACACAACAATCTCTCTACTCTCGAGGCACATGTCGCACCAATCGAATCACTGCATTTGTCGCCACATCGAGATTGTGAGAGGCTTCTGATTCGGGGGCCGACTCGAAGCGTCATCCAATGACACGATCGCATTATCAGAGCCTGTCAGCAACGGGATAACCACCGGAGGCCCGACGATTGCCCGGGTCAGGGAGACCCACACCCCCGAGAGCAGGACCCGCTTACGGAGCCGGTCTAAGAATCTGGCTTTGCCCTCAGCCGGATAAACACACGGAGCAGCGAAAATGCGCAGTACGATCCTGGCCTGAATCCTTTTCTTCCAGGATAGGGCAGCGCAGCGATGCCTTGAGGCCATGCACTCCGAGCAGGGGCAGAAATGATGGGCGGATTGGCAGACCTTTCTCCTTACACATACGCCAGTCGACTCTCACTGGTGGCTTCACCCGAGTTGAGGCCAATTCCCCTCTCGCTCCAAAGCAAAATCGTGCACTTACCAAGGACCCACAAGCGGCACCCACCGGCACACAAAACTGTAGACATCGTGAGTCACGGAGACGATCCACAAATTGAAAGCCCTAATGGACAGCTTGGAACTAGAACCTCCCCATCAATCAATACCCATCATCAAGCACAATAGCTCAGGGGTAGAGCGCTGGGCTCATAACCCAGAGGTCCCTGGATCGAAACCAGGTTGTGCTATCCTTTCTTTTGATTCTTTTGTCTGTCGGTATCTTAGTTAGACCTGGATGTGGACTAGCAATATCTTTATACTGTACATCGCGGACCATCTCCATGGGACAGACCTCTCTTTCTCTTTTGAAGGAAGATTCAAAGATGAGGCCATCACTGACCATGCTTGGACAAATTTGACCATATGTAAAACTGCCGAGCTGAGAGCCTCGGAGCACGATTGAACCATGATTTCCTCAAAACTTTGTGCGTTGATTTTTGCACTACCACTGACCGTCTTCCAGCACTTACGAATAGGTTCATCTCATGTTTTTGATCCACCTTGGGCGAGCATTTGACCAGGTTCGTCGGACTCAGAAGACAGCCGCTCGCCGACCTCATAAAGGTGCAAGCGTGGATTGTTTGTTACAAGGTCGTTGAGTCAAACTTGAGCCTCCTCTTCGCCGACTTGGCGGCTCGCCATCCCATAGGCGCGCGCATTTAGGTTGCAACTTCGGCTTGACCTGAAGATCTCAGTTGTTTACTCCCGCCCGCCACAAGCAAACATTTCACCAAGAAAACGACGGGACAATTCGGAATGTTTGCAACGCTCGTCTTTCGTGTGCCGGCGACATGGTTCACGTCAAATTTGACACCCGCACGTCTCGTGGCTGAGTCCTCGGGACGAGTAAGATAAAAGCAATGTGGCGAGGGCAAAGGAATCGCTTACCCGTCCATCGAACAAAGTCGTTTTGGACGTTTTGGTTCGATCCTCGGGCAGAAGATGAAATCCTTCAAAGTTTTCGATCCTCTTACCTCCTGCTGTAAGCTGTCCTTCTCATACAACCGCACGGCCATTTTTCAAGACCGTCAATCGCGCTACATGCACCGGCTGATGATGGAGGGCACTGTGCCTAGCTTCGAGCTTCAGCCTTTTTTCCAGAGGTGACATGGTCGTGGGGGAAGGGAACCAGAGCAGAGCAGTGAGTTAGTGAGAGGACAAAGCGGGCGACATATGCAAGTTGCCGCTTGCCGGTGGCCGAGCGTTCGATTCTTTGAAAAGGTGATGGACTTTTTGATACATGGTATAGCCACATTGCTCAGACCTTTTTGCTGCCAAACGCGAGATACGCTTTGCTTGCGCAGGGCCAAGACACGGCCGAAGACGACCGCTGCGTCAACGAATCGACACTATGGGCTGGAGAAGCACATGAAGATGCTTGGACAGAGGACAGGATCGCCACACGGGAAGACGGGCTCTAAGTCGTGGCGACTTTCTCTACATTGGAAATTCCGGGGTAGGAACTGTAGGATCAACCGGCTAGGGAATATCATACAGGATTCAACTTTGAGCCGCATGATTTGACGATAGAAGAGGCAATGTCGCGAAACATCCAACGGCGCTTACAGACGCGCAGGCTGACAAAGGGAAGACGTGGCTTTCAAGTTCCTGATGAATCATCATGCAGCCCCCCTCGAACGAGACTCCTCCGTCTCAACAGACGCGCCTGTCTCTTTTGTGATGCCGATATACCCTTGGTTACAACGGGAAGTCATACGAACCCGAAAGCCGCCCGAGAGCTGCATGGTGGCGGCCGTCCATCCTGCCCCCCATGCCTCCCTTGAGATTACCTCTCGCCTTGCAGTCCACCTCAGTCTGAACTGGTCCCCTCGCATGCCTATACTCAGCACCAGGAGAGCGGACCTTGGTTCCGGCGGCCGGGTAGAAGCGAACATACATACAGAATTGCCCACTCGGGCTTGTCTGACACTGGTGATAACCGCCCACCAAGGCGGCCATAGACCCAAGACCGCTTGGTACCCGGGACCGACTGTCAGGACTCACATCACACACACAGAGAAGCCAACCGCAGCAAGCAACCACACACGCTCACTCCCACTCAGACTGTTCCAAACATCATCTCATCTCTTTTGCTTTCCCTCTCAGCCCGAAGATATTGAAACTTTCCCGCCGTCTTGGTGCCGCCCGCCCTGGTATAAAGCTCACTCACTGGTTGGGACATGGGTGTCTGAAAACGAGAGACTTCCCTTTCGCGGCGCAAACTCCAACAGTTCCTCGTTTCGCAACGCTCGACCGAAAAGGCTAGATCACGGTTCATCCCCGAACTACAGCACCGTGCTCTTTTTTGAGGTTAATCGCGCGGTGGCCAATATCCTAGCGCAGGTTTCCCGCCTTATCTAAAGGTTGGGTCGACCGTTGAAGAGTTGGAATTTCTGGAAGCTGTTTTTTTTTTGCTACTCCGAACGAACAAGGTTGTGACAGAGAGATTAATATTGGGTGGACTAGGTAAGTCACCTCTAGATGAAGTGCTACTTGATATCATGGGATCATCGTGTGCTGACTCTTGTTACAGGGTCATTCAATCAGACACTCTCACAGCCCTCGGCATACCCATCAGCCAAAGATTGTCAAGATGAGGTCGACACTCTCCAAGAGCGTGCTCTTCTTCCTCTATGGCCTAGCGGCAGCCGCCCCCTCGCTGTCGTCCAACACTGGTGTTTCGAGGAGGCAGGACAACGCGCAGCCTGGCTCGTCAACCCCGGCAGACTCTAACCAAGGTCCCAAGTCTTGCAACACTGCCGAAAACAGACAGTGCTGGGTCGAGGGATTTGACATCAAGACTGCTTATGAGGAGTCGATCCCGGATACCGGGGTGACTAGAGAGGTTGGTTGGCCTGCATGCCCCGAGGCTATCCCAATGCTAACAAGCTGGGCAGTATGATTTGGTTCTCACAGAGCATACAACATTCCAAGGTCTGGATGGCATGACAAAGAACACTGCGATGTTGATCAATGGTGGCTTTCCGGGCCCGAATATCAAGGCAAACTGGGGCGACAAGATCAAAGTCAGAGTCGTGAATAATCTCAGGTCGAACGGGTGAGAACAACAGCATCAACATGCACCTATCTTTCAGAATATTGACTCGCTGACCCCTCTGCAGTACCTCGATGCATTGGCACGGCCTACGAATGCTGAACAACAACCAAAACGATGGTGTCAACGGCATCACTGAGTGCCCAATTCCACCAGGAGCCAGCAAGACGTACGAGTGGCGTGCAGAGCAGTACGGCTCATCATGGTACCACTCGCATTTCTCCGACCAGTACGCCAACGGTATCGCCGGTACAATTCAGATCGACGGACCTACATCCAAGAACTACGATGAGGATCTCGGTACCTACTCCATCACGGATTGGTACTACAAGTCCGCTGATGAGATCCGCTCTACCTTCACTGCCCCTGCTGCCGTCCCCGCCAGTGACAACATCCTCTTCAACGGTACCAACATCAACAAGAACGGAGGTGGCAACTACTCCCGTGTAACGCTCAAGAAGGGCAAGTCTCACAAGATCCGTCTCGTCAACATGTCCGTGGACAACACCTTCTCAGTGAACCTCGTCGGCCACAAGATGACGGTAACGGGAACCGACTTTGTGCCCGTCAAGCCCTTTGAGACAGACTCGCTCTACCTGACTGTTGGCCAGCGCTACGATATCATCATCGACGCCGACCAGGATGCCAGCAAGGCATACTGGTTCAACGTCTCGTTCCCGTCTAACAGACTCTGCGGCACGTCCAACATGAACAAGCCTGCTGCCATCTTCCAGTACGAGGGTGCGTCAAACAGCCTCATGCCCAAGGATGCCGGCAAGGCGCCCACCGACGCCCAGTGCCAGGACAAGACGGACTTTGAGCCCATCTTCAGCGTCGACGTAAACTCCACATCCTTCTCCAAGACTCAGGATGATACCCTTGATATCACCGTCGACACGAGTAGGACTACTGGCAGTCAACAGGTCTTCTGGAAGGTCAACGGCCAGAACATGGACATCAACTGGGACCAGCCAACGCTGTCTTACCTTGCGAAGAACAGTACCGACTACCCCGACAACTACAACGTCTTTGAGGTTCCCGCAGACAACGCTGTAAGTCTCCCCGTATCATTGACACTCGAGTCCTTAGCTAACAAACACCACAGTGGGCATTCTGGGTCGTCGAGAACTTATTCCCCGCCCCTCACCCCATGCATCTCCACGGCCACGACTTCTACATCCTAGGCCACTCCGAGCCCGCCTCCAGCGGTCGCGGTGACGGTGTCCGCTTCAACGCGCAGACCGACGTCTCCAAGCTCAACTTCAAGAACCCCACCAGGCGCGACGTGACCACCCTGCCCGGCCGAGGCTGGCTCGTCGTGGCCTTCAAGACCGACAACCCCGGCGCATGGCTCTTCCATTGCCACATTGCGTGGCACGTCAGCCAGGGCTTGTCGGTGCAGTTCCTGGAACAGACTGACAAGATCATGGATACTGTCAGGGCTCAGGATATGGATGATATGTGTAACCAGTGGCAGACGTACTCGAAGAAGGCTCCTTACCCTCAGACCGACTCTGGTCTGCGTAAGCTTAAGATGTGAGGGGCACTACGTCTTCATACGGCACGGAAATTTTGCAAAGATTGTAATCCATTGTTTGTTTAATCGTTTGTTTGTTGGGTCATTTGTGGGAACTTGAGTGGCGCAGCGGTCGGAGCATGGTCATGACTGTCGGAAAGAAGGAGCATCATAGATAGAAATAACATTCATGCTAATTTTCGATACTGTTTACTTGATGATGCGATGTTTAGTTGTCGATGTCAATTTGTGAGATTACGCAGCATTGATCCGACTTCGATAGACATCACCTACGTGCTACTCTCTATTCCCTTACGTACCCAAGGATTTGCACCTGCAAGCCTCATGGTGCTGGATATTGCTAACATGTTGATATACGAGAGCCGGATGGAAGCGAATACATTGGCTTTGCAACAGACTCTCAATTTGTAAAAAGTACGCTCTAATCCAAGATCTAGACATCTACAAACGACCGACACGAGCTGAGGGGCTCTCAAACTTCCACTGTCCGCACCAATGAGCCATCAACTCCGGCGTTACAGGTCCAACCGAGCGCAGCGCAGGACTGCAAGCCACCGTTCTTGTAGTCTCGTGCGTCCTCGAGTTCGGTATATTCTCTCCCGCAGCAGCAGCGCCTCGATAGAAGTCCACCAGCTTCAAGCCGGGATTCCGGTCGGCACCAAGTGCTCCAGGCGCCTTGCGGCTCGCCTCTAGTCTTTCAACCCAATCCTTGAAGGTGATGAGGTCAGGAAGCTGATTTCTTCCGTAGTACTGCTGAATAGCAGGCACCAATTTGTCAAACGTTGTGATGGACGGGTTGCTGCCGTGGAAGTACCCTTCGTGGTAGTCTTTCGACTCCTCAGTCAGACCGCCAATATCCAGAATCATTCTCGACATCGTCTCAACCGGGACCCAGGCGGTCGTATTCATGCCAGATAGGTGCCTTGGCAACGCCTTGAGAACAAGGCTACTCGCGATGATGGAGGGCAGCCACTCTTGGCGACTCCAAGCGCCTTCATCAGCAAGAGGCCCGGCAATTTGACCAACACGAACGATGGCCAGCGGGAAGTCTCCGACCTTGGCCGCATCTTCAAGTACCATGCTCGAAATGAGCTTGCTCTGGCCGTACCCGAGACCCGAGATTCCGTATTCTCGCAGGGATTTCTCCGGCACGGGACCGTGGCTTGCATCCCACTTGCTGGTGGTACCGATCGTTGACACGAATACCAGCACGACACGCTTATCCGCCGTGGCAGAAAAGTCGGCCAAGTTGCGACATCCTTTGATGTGTGGCTCAAACGCATCAAGAGGCATGTTGAAGTTGACTGCCCAAGCATTGTGAACGATACGGTCCGCCTCTTTTAGTAGACGCGAGTAGACTTCCTGCGATAATCCCATGTTGGGTTGCGACAGATTAGTATGGAAGAACTCGACCTTGCCGCTCTCTTCTGGCCTGGCTAGCCCGCGTTCCTTCATGGCGTTAGCCTGCTTTCCAGCACCACCGTCGGTTGATCTGTTGAAGCAGATAACTCTCTTGACGTGCGGGTTGCGGATCAACTCATCGAGCAAGTAACATCCCATGTTTCCGGTTGATCCGGTGAGAATGACAGTCTGCTGCTCCTTCGCGGGTTCAGGGCGCCCTGGTTTGGCATGGACCAGGTTTTGTCGGATCTTCTGATACAGCCTATCCATTGCTTGGTGATTCTCGCTCTCGCTAGTAGCACCGCCATTGGCCTTGCCCTGGCCGGATTGCAAGATGTGGCCAGCGAGCTGGTGAGGACTAACGTGAGTATACATATCGCGAGCCTCAATAGTCGTGTCACTGTAGTGCTTATTGGTAGCGCGCAGACTAGCGGTGATGAAACGTGCAGCAGCAATGATTTGCAGCGAGTCCATGCCAGCCGCGAAGAAATCAGTGTCGGACTCCAAGTGAGGGACGCCGAGATGCTCGCGGAGGAGCTTCTCAATGGACTTGCTGAGCGCAGCCTGGGAGCTCAGATCGAGCCGCGGCACCTTAGACAAGGGCACCTCTCTCGGATTAGCGTAGAGCTCCTCAATCTCATCGGCATAAAGCTTGATTGTCGCCGATCTCTTGAGGGTGCCCTTGTCTGCCATGAGGAACGGCTTCTCCGGATTGGACACTGTGATCAAGTGCCGAATAATCCGACCGTGCGTTGCTTTTTATTCCCGTGTCAGCGCTACGTTTTCTCCAAGGATGGGTGTACGTGACGTTAGTTTGGGTGTGGTGGAGGACTTACCAATGGTCTCGTTAGCCTCGGCAACTTGCGGCATGATGCGGTCGATAAGCTCATCAATTTCATCGTTCGTCTTGGGCTGCACAAACGGCTCCACGATCAGAGCGGGCTGGAATTTCTGGGCTCCCACGATGAGAGCAGCCTTAACCGCCGGGTTCCCGGCAATGATGTCTTCCATTCTCACGGGGTTGAGCTTCTCTCCATTGGAAAGATTGATGATGTTGTCGGCTCGGCCGTGGAACTTCCAGTGGTGCGGCAGCGTCGGGTGAGGTTTGTACAAGTCGCTGGTCGCATACTCCTCTCTATCGGGGAACGTGTAGAAGATGCCTTGGATCGGAATTTGCTTCGACTTCCTGGTGATCACCATCTCGTAAACATCCTCGTCGGACGTGGCCTTTCGGAACTCGACGCCAGAGAGCTCCTCGTTGTAGATGAAATACTGCCATAGCGCTGTATTCTTCTGATGGTAGATGCAGAACGGTAGGGTTCTAGCAGTCTCAGCTTGCTGTCTGTCCTATTTGAGAGGTAGAGGAAACTTACTCAGTGGCACCAATGATGTTGAGCAACTTAACACCATTCCTGTAGAGAATGTCACCGGCTTCCTTGTTGAGAGGACCTGGGGTCTCGTTAGTTCTCGGCCTCCATGCATCGTCTTTTCGGGTAAAACGCACCGCCTCCGAAACCAACAAAGTTGAGCCGCTTCAATACCTCGATTTGATCGGGACGGTGGACCATCTCTTCCAGAAGAGATGGAGGTAGTGCCGCACTTTTTGCGCCTGTAGCCTTGAGAATCTCAATCGTAAGATCAGGGGTTAGCGGACGGTCAGGGAACGGGAAAATGATGGGCTTGTTGCTGAGAACCGCAGTCCCAATAAACCCATAGACGCCACCAGCATGGAATAATGGCACTGGGCACGTCAGCTACTATCAACCAGATTAGGAACTTCACTCATAGTGCTCACTGGGACTAAAATGTGTATCTGCCAACGACTCCATGGCCCGTGCAATAGGAATTGTACCATTCCATTCCGGAAACTCGTGCTGCGCATCCGTCAAGGCGATAGAGCCATGCTTGGTGACAATGGGCTTGGGAAGACCTGTGCTACCGCTGGTGTGAAGGACAAGGAAAGGATCCCATTCTGCCTCTGACGCAGTTTTTGTATATGGTACGTTTGGAACTTGCGACTTGGAAAGGATGTCGTGCAAAGGCTCGATCTCGATTTGCTTCATGTCCCAGTGTTTTACCCAGAAGTCGACGACAGACTGGTGTGATGGCGGACGCACCACCAATCGGCAGTCAGATAGCTTGAACAGGTTCAGCTGCGCTTCGAGAGGGTTTCTAGGAGATACGAATAGGGCCTGTTGAGTTCCAAGTCAGTGGCTTTGTTACCAAAAGAAACCAGTCAGAGGATAGCTTACCTTGTATCCTGCCTTGATGCAGGCGACGATCATGATCTAGTATTATGTTAGTCGGAATCTCCACACCACGAGGAAGCTCTTGGTGGCCAACCCACACAGTATCTGGCATCATTCGGACCCATATAGGCAACGGTAGGAAATGTGTTTGGAGCAGGGACCCCGCAAGTGTCCAGGAGGAAGTGCGTAATGTAGTTGATAGCATTCGCAAAATCTCTGTAGGTGACAACTCTCCACCCATCTCGGGGCTCCGACGTGTATGGCGTTGAAAAACACGTCCGGTTAGGCTCGTACGCGGCCCTCTCGTCAATGATGGACGGGAAAGTCCGCTGTCCACAGACAGAGAGAGTCCTCGGTTCCGTGACTTGTACGGTAGTTGTAGCCATTGTTATTTTCGTCGACGATGATAAATAAGGATACAGCATAGCTTCATAGACGCACCACTCCAAGCCCCTCCAAACCCCAGAATCGACGAGACCAAAGCGCGCTCATATACTATTTCCGCTCCCTCGGTTGCGGCCTGAAAGTTAAGACGACACGTGACGAATCGTGGTATTTCTAAGCATTATGAGGGGGAGATAGCAAAGAGACTTCAAACCTGCGAGAGTCTATCTGTTGGGATGAGCTCTCCAGTGTTCTGGACACCACGTATTTGTGGTTGTTACAGAGTTCCACCAGCGGCTGCCTCGGTCGGAGGTTAGGTCAAACTTTCCGTTTCGGCCGCTTAGAAGCGTCAGCGGCAGGGTCAAGCAACCGATAGAAATGATATTTTCGGTACCGTCTTCGCATACAGCTTCAATAATTCGGCGCCGAGATGTGACGTACCGACTCTTGAGTTGTTCTCAAATGTCGGAAGAGAGAACGAGGAAGTGACAGGCCACGGCTCTTCCCAAGTGCGTGGTTGTCCGATTATGAGACGATGGAAATCACTATGGATTTATTCCCACAAATCATTTCCTGATACGGCACATTCACCTGAACTGAGCACGATGGGAGCCGGTTTTCTTGTCCCAGCTACGTTATGGCCAAGCTTGTTCCCGATTTTGGCTGCCTTCGCTGGCGGTATGAATATGATCCACGTTAAGCTCAGCTCGCGACTTCGCTTGGGTATCGATTGCTATGCAAACGGACTCCAAACGGAATTTGACATAGCATAGCAGCTTCTTGAACTCCGGGAAGACGCTGAAGACGCCTAATGCGATAAAGTCCAGACCCTGCTCCGGATTCTTCTAAGGAGCCCACGATGTAGCGCTACCTTGCAATATGAGAGACAACATTGTTTCGTCTGAGCTACTGACTCGTTCGAGATCTCCCCGATACCTCGGTAATTAAATGTATCTCGTGCGGGGAAGCTCTAGATATTGGCCATAGCTTCATGCCAGACAATGCAAAGAGAAGGTTTGGGTCCATCTGGGGGGGCCATAGAGGTCGACGAGAACATGCTATCGGTTACTCTCAGCAACTCGTACTCGCACCACTGCAGTTGATAAAATAATGAGAAAACCCTTCCTCGAAGCTTGTGAAGCTTCCAAAGCACTAGGAATGCGGTGCAACATAAAGTCATCCCAATCATCCGTTGCAAACTAGAGTGACGTCAAATGCAGCGCCGGACTCACATACCCAATTCAGGCTAAAATACCGTCGCGAGGAACCATAAGTCTGACGCCAAGGACTACCGTTGAGATCTATAAAGGGGGCTTCCTAGTCCAGAAATTCGGGAAACATGCGGGACGGCATCGGCACTTGCGGAGAGCCAAAGGCCCCCCACGGGCCACATGTTAACGTTCTTCAGTCGCGCCGAATCGCATCGGCAACACTGGTTTACCCCCCCGCGTCCGAATCCCCGGCACGTGTTTTGAGTTCGTTGGCCGAAGTCAAAGTGTTTCCATTGGAGTGTCCGTCGGAGGAAGTGGAGCGCGAGCTCCGTCCCGCCGGTGAACGGAGAGGAGCCGGTGCCCCAAGCGGTCTGGGGTCTGAAGCTTTCGCTTTTAGACAAGGCCGAACGAGTTTGCGATTCCATCTACTATTCAGTAAGTGCTAGACCACAAGGGCTTGCGTACATGTACCGGTCTCAGACCTGATTGGCGTAGAGGAGGCACATGTCCTTCAAAGGGATGCTGAATCTCGAATTCAAGGTAATCATTTTACTTGTTCCATCTGGTATTACATGCTTGTGTACAATGCCCTCCAACTCCTATCCCATTCTATGATATGACGGTAATGAAATCCCAAAAGTCATTGACTTTTCCAGCCATCTAATCAAACACATCCGTCACGTAGCGGATGTTTCTCAGCGCCTCAAACCATTCCTTAACACTCTCTTCGTCCGTCTCCTCACCCTTGGCCTTCTCCATCTCAACCTTGATCTTCAGCATGGTCTCCTTGGCAGACTCAGCCACACCGCGCGAGCCACAAACGTATGCCTTGGCACCCTTCTTCCACAGGTCAACGAGCTCCTCGCGATCTTGCCACATACGGTCCTGCACGTGCTTGCACCCGTCGCTCTTCTCGCAATCGCGGCTATAAGCGCGACGGATAGAGACGGCACCCATCTCTTCCCACTTATCGAACTCATCACGGTACAAGTCATCCTGCTCGGGGGAGCGGCATCCGAAGAAAAGCAGCGCAGGCGCGAGGGTGCGGCCTGCTGCGAGCATAGTGGCGCGCTCCTGGATGAAGCCGCGGAAGGGCGCGAGACCGGTGCCGGCGGCGACGCAGACCATGGGCGTGTGCTCGGCGTCAGAGGGAAGGCTGAAGGCGGCGTGGGAGGGGCGGATGGCGACGTGGAGGCTGTCGCCCTCGGCGAGGGAGTCGAGGTAAGAGGAGGCGACGCCGATGTAGGGGCCCTGGCCTGAGAGCGAAGGCTCGTTGAGGACTGAGAAGGTGAGGGTGACGTTGTTGGGGTACGCCATGGGTGAGGAGGAGATGGAGTACTGTCTGACCCGCATCGGCGGCATCATGGACAGGAAGACGCCGATCGGGAGGTCGATTGAGGGGTGGCGCTCGAGGAGGTCGAGGACGGAGACGCGCTTGCCGCTGACTTCGTCGGCATAGGCATCGCCGGAAAGACGGTTCAGTTCGGTCTTGGTCGCTTCATCCTTGGCATGCTCTGCAAGAGCAAGGAGGTTCTGCAAGATTGTTAGTATCAATGGTCAAGGTTAGTAGAAAGGTTGCTTCTTACTCTTCTCGTAGCCGGCTGCGAAAGCTCGACATAAGAGCTCAATAGGTCGTTGGCAGGCACGGAGGTATCGACCGGGAGGGACGTAGGACCGTCAGTCTTGATGCTCAGGTGAGCATCACGGGCGATATGGAAACGACGCATGGCGCGGTGGACAGTCTCCTTGGGGTTGATGGGCAGAACGGCAAGGTAGTCGCCCGCAGTGTACATCATGTCCTCGGGGAGCTTGATCTCGACATGCTTCTTGATGCTCTTAGGGTCGCTGCCCTTGGTAAGTGTCGCAGTCTTGGTGACGGTGGCCTCCTTGACGTCCTGGCGCAGGGTGGAGGTTCTGGGGTTGCTGATGACAACGCCGACGCCCTTGGTCTTGGTGTCCTCTGCAGAGGTCGTCTTATACTTGTTGGTCAATGAGGGCCAGAGAATATCGTCCTCCCATGACTCAAAGTTAGTGAAGACCTCGCCACTCGAAACATCCGTCAGACCGACTTCGGCCAGGCGAGTTGCACCAAGCTGTTCAAGAGTGGTGTCGACCAACTTGGGCACGCGGTGGAAAGTCTGGACCCAATCCTTGTGACCGCATCCAAAGACAGCATACTTCACGTCCTTGAGAGGTGCCTTGGCCTTGTCCTGTCCCTCGATCCAGGCCACAAAGTGACCAGCGTTATCAGGAGGCTGGCCCTCGTACGATGCTGTGATGATAACAACAGGCTGGTCGGTGGGCAGGCTGCCGTTGGCGCTGTCTAGGCAGTCGATCTTTGTCGCGCGGAAGCCGTGGGAAGCGGCATCGGAGGCGACGCGCTGCGCCAAAGCCTCGCAGGTTCCGCTGTTGGACCCGTAGAGGATCGTCAGCGGCATTCCAGTCTCGCCCCCGGCAGCAGCGCCGCTAGCCTTGGCCTGCGCGGCCTGCTTCTCGGGCTCAGCGAGACCGGCCAGGCGACGCTCCAGAGTCGTCGGTGTGAGGTTATCGCGGAGAATGGCGCGCATGTGCATATCCTTGGGCTTGATGGTGAGGGTCTGCTTGATGCCAAAGTGGTAGTTGGGGTCCAGCACAAAGTTGAAGTTCTGGAGAAGCATAACCATGACCAAAAGGGCCTCTTGCCAGGCAAAGGGGCGACCGATGCAACCTCTCATGCCGTTGCCGAATGGCTTCCAGCAGTTGGGGAACTCCTTGGTGATGCGGTTGAAGTTCTCATCCATCATGCGCTTGGGCTTGAATTCGTTGGCGTCCTCGCCAAAGACAGCGGGGTCGAGCTGGGACTTGGCGAGGAGGTTGATGATGGTCTCACCAGCGCCCACGGCGTACTTGCCACCAATCACGGTATCCTCAAAGGCCTCAACGGTGAAGACCGGGATCGTTGCGTTGACACGCAGAGTCTCGCGGAGAACACCGTTAATGTAGGGCAACTTGGACAAGTGGTCGACCTTGATCTGTCCCTTTCCAACAACATCGTCGACTTCCTGCTGGGCCTTACGGTACGCCTCGGGGTGCTTCAGCAGTTGGTAGAAAGCAAAGGACAAGAGTCCTGACGTCGTTTCGTGACCGGCGATGAGGAATGTGATCAAGTTGTCCATGATACTCTCGTCCGTCATCTTCTTCCCCGTCTTCGTGTCGACTCCCTCCAGCATGGCCGTGAGCAAATCCCGGCGATCGCTCTTCCCGTCCTTTCTGGACTCGAGAACCTCTCTGGCTGTGGTTCTGAGGGTGTCAATGTCCTGCTGGAACTTCTGGTCCTTTGCGCTGTAGAACATGGAGGGTAGCGGCAGACGACGCGACTTGTTGCCGGCCTCGGTCAAGAAGTCGCCCATGGCCTCGATGAACGGATGAAGAACGGGCGAGTAGTAGCTATTGAACCGGTATCCCATTGAGCACAGGGCCAATGTGTCGAGCGTCAACCGCGTGAAGTCATCCGTCACCATGATTGCCGACTCAGGGCCATAACGCGCCCATTTTAATGCTAACTGGCTGGCGATATCGTGCATTTCGTCGTACATGTTACGAATCGAAAGGGGGCCGAAGGCGGGCATGAGAACGCGGTGAGCGATACCCCAGTTCTCCTCGCCCATCCTCGCTGTGAAAAGTCCATCGTGGACGCCTGCTCTGACTTGCTACTTGGGAATGAGTATGACTTCCTGCACACATACAGACTGCTAAAAATGAGCGCAGCTCTAAATAAACTCACACTTAATGCCTGGTTCACGGACTTCTTGAAACGCTTCTCATCGCAAGTCTCGTTCACCAGCTCTCGTGTCGAGACCAGGACAATCGAACGTCCTGGGAACCTCAATCGGTAAATCTCACCTTCAGGCGCACATGTCACTGTCAGCTACGTGTCACCGATAAGATAAGGGGGGTTTGGTTCGCATGAGTCAGGGGTCTCTTCACTTACCATACTGGTCCGCAAGCGAGATCATGGATCCCAGTGGGAATTCAGGGTCGATCTCGTTGATGTTGCCGAGAAACGGCAGCCCAGAGGGCTCTGGGATCGGTACTGTTTCCGACATGTTGTGTGTATGTGTGCGTACGGAGTAATGTGGAGTGTATTTGTATACGTGTGTTGTTGTATGTGTCAAGGGTATGGTGTGTTCCTCGAGCGTTGTTGATGTGGTCAGTCACCTGTGAGATCTGAATGCACTTCTCATGTGATGAGACAAAAGGCCAGCAACAGGAGGGGATATCGGCCTGATAATATTCAAATTCGAAAATCGCCTGAGCCCCCCCCCAATTCAGGTATATGGCTAATCTCTGAGCTTACCAGGCGTTATGCCTCGGTCCCATCATCATGCGTGGAGTACGAGGATGAACGCTGATATCATGCCCGAAAAAAGATTTCCCATCTTCCCACTTTTTTTCCTCACGGCGAGGTGAGCGACAGGTGGACCAATCCCGGCCATCTCAATGGTCGAGATGAACGCAATCGTGCGGATTCGTGCCATCTTCGTAGCCCAGCTCGGCCATCCCGTCCGTCCCCGCCTCTAGTGAAACATGGCATTCGGCGCCAGTCCAATTCCGCGCCGACTTGCTTAAGCGTTCTCTGCCCTATGGAATGCCAGCAAAGTACTCGGTAAGCAGTGACTACTCGCCAACGAGTCGAGATTCGAGGAGGGGTCTTTGGAGTGTTGCATTATTGGTGGGCGGTGAAGCCAGGGGTTCTTGTCACTCCCATGCAATGAGTCGGATTTGGTATCCTCGTCCCGCGATCTTGGTCCCTATCACTTTACAGACTGATTAATTACTGAAATGCTCCGTTTGATGATTAGATGAAATTCCACAAGATCGGTGCCGAGGAGGCCGACTCATGAGACCATTCCCATTGCGAATCTGACCAGAAACCAACATGCCCGCCCACCGGCACCCACCCGTGTGCTGCCACGGTGCCACCAAGGCCTCCCAGAGTCCCAACCCGTTGGATCCTAAAACTAAGGCCGCCAGCCGCCAGGGGTTTAGTCCCGAGATCCGTCGCCTACGTGCATCTACGGCGCAGCGATGGACAGCTGCCGTCATGACGGCGAATTGCCACAGCCCAGCTGCCGGCCGTTGAGTTGCCCCATCCCGCTCCGTCGGCCAAACCGAACCCATTACCCTCCCGCCCCGGATCAGGGGGATCAACGGGTGCGAACGGCGGTCATGTCGCCGTCCGCCGTCGATAATGGAGTCCTCTCGGAGTCCAGTGAGGCTTCCGTTGAGAGCCGTAGGCCGTCGTACGGGGTAGATGAGACAAGTTTTGATCCGTCAACAAGCGGCTCATCGTAAATGCCACAATCCGCCAACATCACCCCGCGCAACCGTGAATCCCCTCTCGTGAGTTCGTTCTCGCTTGCTTGTTTGCGGGGAACAGAGACACAATGACGCAGGGAAACGCCTTCTTGGCGTGTCAGTGTACGAACTTGGAACACGAGAGTTTGGGACTGCAGCGGCGCAGATCAGGAAAGGATCCGGCGTACTGACACGTACACGAAGCTAGTTCCATGCAGCCAGGAAGTGGGATGTAAGCACAAATTCACCGCCGGCCTTTGGACCCAAGCTCCCAACTCCTGCGGGCCTGGTAGAGAAGTTTTGGGTGTCTCATGTGCATGAGAACTCGTTGGATCATCTTTTGGGCCAATTGGAGTTTTGGTATTGCAAGTTCGTACGTCTCAAAATGTGATTTGTATCCCTTGAGCTGATGCTTTTCAGCTGCGTTGAGGGATTATGCATGAGCTGTTTAGTCATTCGTTCATCCAAGCAAACTCTGCATGAATTAAACTCCTCGATCGACAATTAGCCACAACCCAAACTATGGATGTCTCCGGGAGAGTTCGCAATTACACCGCTACAGTGACCTTTTACAGGGAGTCTTTCTCCCGCCCATATTGAAACTAAGGCTTTCCTGAAGTTTAAAACTATTAATCTGACTGCGAAGCTGAGAAGATCTGCCTCATCGCCACCAGAGGTCAGTGTATCTTCCGAGAGCGAGCTCACCAGGCTCGAAGAGACCATGCACGGAATCCCAACCGGATTTGAGCTGGGCAACGGGCAGCCATTTCGCTCTCAGCCGTTCCACTTCGGCCGACTCGGCATCGTCTTCCGGTAATATCCCGCATTTGGACAAGGCCTGCTCCGGAGGCACCGTCCGTCTCCCATTTTTGAAGACGTATCGAGCAATTGACGATGCGAACACCGCCTTCTGCGGATCTTTTTCCTCTATTCCTCGTCTCTTGCTCTTCCGTGATCCCGTGCCGGGCTGCATTGCGTACTCTTCCGGCACAAATACATCCGCCTTGACAAAGTGCGTCACGAGATAAATCCACTTCTCATCCCACGACAGCACCCGCGTCCATAGCTCGTACTTTTCGTAGGGCGCAATCTCCTTGCGCCAGACGCACTGCGCGCCGCCGAGGATCATGATGAAGTGTTTGGGTCCCGGGAACGGGTTGAAGGGTTCCCGGAAGAGCACCAGGCTGATGTTGCCGCGGGACATATCGAGGTCCGTGAAGTAAGTTGAGTTGGACTTGTGCATATTGTAATCACACTCTAGGAGCGGCGAACGCGTCGCGGATATGGCTGGGAGGAAGAGGCATCGTGGGCTTAGGTGCTTCGGCGGCGCAGAGTCTGTTAGACGTCTAATAAAGGCGCGTAGGAATCGGATCTGCGAGATGAGAGTTAGTTGGAGGAAATTTGGTGAAAGTCCAGATAGTGCTAGCTTTCATTTGCACTTACAGTCCAGACGAAGTGCCAATTCTTGATATTGGCGAGGGCAAGTCCTACCAGGACCGACCTAAAGCTTAGGAGCGAGAACGCTATCTGTCCGTAAGAGATCAGATGATTCCAAAGAGCCGCCATAGTTTACGATTGCCCACGACTAAAATTTCAGGCACTCCTAGAGACTCTTCTTTTAGTTGATTGCGTTATTTTAGTGGCTTTGAGGTGTTGTTGATTTTGATCTGTAGAAAGTCTGTCCGTCGGCGCTTCCAGAGCTATTCTAGACTCCGTTAAATAATCTCGCTGTGAAGCTCCATCTTGAGCATCTCCATCGCTTCGCTGTTCTCAAAGGCGTCCGAGTGACCCACGTTTGTTGAGTACACCATGAGCCAGTTGTTGGGAGCACCGTCCGGCATCCATTCATCTTGACAATCCGAACGGTGCAATCTTTGGTGTGGCCAACGCTTCCCATTAAAGTGACATGGCAGCAACGGTGGCAGCAACGGAATTCCACTCAAGACAGACGTCGGATCCGCATTGCAAATCGAAGATTCTTGGCGTCTGCAACAAAGTGATTTTGACGGAAGGATGTCCCGTTTGAGGTGAGAGAGAACAGCGACCCTCGGCTGGATGTGGGCCTTTGGACGCCGGAGTGGCTGGCGTCCGACGGAGTAGCCCGTCTCTTGACTTCAACATGGCGCAGCCAAATGATTGGTATGGTGGTGAACGAGAGAGCATCCCTCGACAGAACAGCAGATTACAGCCCTTGACTTGCTTCGAGCGAGGACAATTTCAGGAGAGTCACAAGCTTGCGGACTACCCCAGCTCTGGAGCAACAGGCGGCATCTTGCTTGAGAAATAATAACAGCCTCATTACCTCAAGTACCGAGGCCTAAAAGTACCATAGAATATCATCAGATAGATCTAATAACCTGAATGTAAACAGTATTTAGATCAATGGCAACGTTGCTGTCTTGGACACAAACCTTTGGGCCGGATTGCTCGGATCCTGGATACAAAGTCACGAATACATTATCAGGTACGACACCAAGCCTACGTGTAGCAGCTTTGAATTATTCTATTTCCAATTCATCCGAAGATCATCAAATCATGTCTCATACACTCCTTCCTCAGATCCCTGAGTTGTACTCGTTACTGAACTACAAAGACATCATCATCAGCCATGTACCCTGCGATGCTCCAGCCGTCACCAAGGTCATCGTCGTGACTCTCAACCGTCCACAAAGACACAATGCGGTCAACGGAAATATTCTCGAAGCGTTGATCTCTGTATTCAATGTCATCGACAATGACGACCGCGTCAGGGCTGTCGTGTTGACCGGCGCTGGCAAGTCTTTTTGTGCAGGAATGGACCTTTCAGAGGGCCCAGAGGGCTTGATGAAGATCAAACAAAATCCGGATGCGATGAACCAGTGGAAAGACACGTGAGTTCCCAACAACCCTCGAGTCAAGATACCAACTAACAAGTACACTGCAGGGGTGGGCGTGCAGCTCTGGCGATTTCGAGGTGCTCAAAGCCAACCATCGTCGCCGTCAATGGAGGCGCGGCAGGTTTCGGAGCTACCTCCATTTTGTCTGCCGTAATCCGAGTCGCTTGGAAAGATGCCAAGATCAATCTACCGTTTGCACGACGCGGATTAACGATGGAGTCCGTCAGTGCCTTTTACCTCCCAAAGCTTGTCGGCCTTTCAAATGCGAACCACATTGTCACAACGGGAAACACATATACGGCTTCCGATCCTATCGTCAGTGGGCTATTTTCCAAGTTGCTACCTACTCCCGAGGAAACTGTGAGGTGTGCCATCGAGCTTGCTACCGGCATTGCTGAGAATACCTCCATCACAAGTACTAAGTTGATGAGGGACATGATGTTGTACTGTCCTGATACACCGGAGGGGACCCATGACTTGGACTTCGAGGTGTTCATCACTTCCTTTGGATCCAAGGACAACATAGAAGGGTTGACAAGTTTTATGGAGAAGAGAAAGGCAGAGTTTTCTGGGGGGTTTAATAGGAGTGCTTCGCCATTCCATCCTTCGTGGGAATCAATGACGTTGAAAGCAAAGATTTGAAGGCGTCGTACGATAAAGTGGCTATAGTTATCTACGTTCACGGATTGGGATTGGAGAGATTGCAGCTTCTAGGTAGTTTGGCAAATAATAGGACTCATTTGGGTTTTGTGCAAATATTCTAGTTTGGCAATTTGTCCGCCATGGAAGAGTCTTCGAGGGCATTAATACTCCAGGTCTCTATGTCCGTAGAGGCGACTCGTTTCAGATACTACCGAGTCCATTGTAGTTATTATGGATGATAAGCAAAGTACCATGCGATGAGTCCTTGGTCATTGGATTCTATTCCTGGGGTCAAGTTCGATATCAGATGTTCAACTATCATACATTGCTCTACCGTCGCTCCATTCTCTAATTACTCATATAGGCAGGCAACCGAAAATACCGACTGTCGAGGACTGATAGCACACGGCATATGCTATCTCTCAATTCCATCTTGATACCTTGGGCAATTAAAGATTGTTGAGCCGACGTCTTGCATGTGCTTCCGCCAAAACGGGCCCAAGTGCCGAGGTACCTCGGCTCGGCAAGATGTGGGGTACATTTAGTCGTAGCTCGCCGCTCGGGGCGGACGCGTTGCCCGGGCACTCGGATTTCCTACGGACACGGTGCGCCTCAACTATTTCGTGGCACAGCCCGGAGCTTATCGGTCCTTCGATCTAAGGGGTTGTCGAATCTGGCCGAAAGCCGGTCGCTCATTTCCAACGCCTTGGGTGACGTTGGCCGGCGGGATGAGAGGCAAAAAAAGGGCATACGAAGCTGTTTCTAAGTTTCGGTGTGTTCGAAGAGCTCTTGGCCCGAGAGGCTGAGTTGGTGCTACCTGTGTCATTTGTCGTGGATATGATGCAATTCCGACTCATGCTTCCCGTTGGAATGATAAGAATCTCGCTTATACTACTGGAGAGACTGAGCAGCATTATGGCAGACTGAAATCGTCGAGCGTCCATAACCTGTCCATAGTCTGGATATCCAGCCAAGAATCGGTGCTACAAAGGTATCAGATCGTGTCGAGCTCTCACACAAATACAGATAAGACTCACTGGGTTCCCGATATTGAGGCATTATCAGCGTATGCATTCGGCAGTGGACTCCACATATCCGATATGATGCCTGCGGTGCCTAGGCCATACCCATCTGGCCAACTCGCGAACGCGCTCGTATCCGGTGTCAAGGCGGCAGCAGCCGGAGAAGGTTGATGCTGCTCGTGAGGCGGCGCGTTGTCGACCTTGTTGATGGCCGTTTCAAAGAGCTTGTATGACGCGTCCGCCGAGATGTAGGACTTGCGCATCTCGTCCATGGCGACCATGCAGAGGGCGAGGTTGTGTCTGCCCATCTGGCGTGCCATTTGTTTTGATGAGGTTGATTCGAAGAGGTGGATTTGCATTGGCGGGACTAGGGCGATGACTCTGGAAAGATGGTTAGTAAACCTGAGACTCGGATTTGGTTGGCATCATTGCAAAGGTCAAGGTGCGTACGTGATTGTGTGGCATAGTCGGATCAGGTCTTCTGCCATCATCGAGTTCATCGCTGCGCTTGCGTTGGACGCGGCGGTCCTCGTCTTTTGGCATGCAAAGGCTCTCCAGCTTCCTTGGTCTGCTGCCGGGATCTCTCTTGGGGTATCAAGTATGAAAGGCCGATAAAGCACGATGATTGATGTTCTGACATGTGTTAGATGACTGCCCTCTTTCCATCTCATGGAGTGGAGCGCAAAGCACTTACTCGAAGTAAAGCTTGAACTGGTAGATATGTGACGCGACGACTCGACTGTGACTTCCAGCTTCAGGCACCCTGTACTGAAAACCTCGGATTTGATTTTCGCTCTGCTCAATCTCTATCCTTGACGGCTTGACACCCTTGGCCCGATAATTCGTCGCAAGAACACTACTAAGGGCGACACTCAACCCAATAAAGGCCAGCCAGGTATCAAAGAGAAACTGCATCTCTTCAGGAAGATACTTCCGGCCAAGTTGGCCCTTGACCTCAGGCGCCAGGACATCGGCATCGCTAGCGACCGGCATTGACGTATCAAAGTCATCAAGGGCTATGCGCATCGGTCTGCCGAGTCCCAGGGAAAGCCACACCTCGCGGGAGTAGAAAGACCACCAGAGACGTCTCCAGAATGGCTTGGTCCCTTGTGAGGCCTGTTGATTCGCGGGCATGTGCAGACGGTGAAGACCGATCGTGTGGGAGAGACTGATGGCGATGCCGTTCCAGTGCCATGGTCCGGCCCTGTCGTCTGTGCTGGTGTACCAGTGGCCCATCAAGAAGACTGACTGGATGAGAGTCACCTTATCCTTTTCATAATCTGCGTCGTATAAAGCCTGCGATGTTCTTAGCTCCTGTGTTTGGCAGTGGGCCGTTGGGAGGGGAAACCTACCTTGGCTCGTTGGTACATGGCCCGTTTCAGAGCCCTTCGCGACGGAAAGAAATCTTCCGTCAAGAGGCTGTCGTCAACAAACTGTGGTGAAAGTCAGTTGTGTCTAGCACTGGAATGAAAAACAATCTGGCCACTCACACTCGCGGCCGCGATGAACATGCTCCAGAGCAACAGCAGGCTTTTCCTTCCCTTCTCATACTCGGTGATGAACTCGCTTGCATCTAGGATTGGCGCAAATGGGTGAACATAGTGAAAGTAGCACCGTATCATGGCCTCGCGGACATGAGGTGGGGGAAGCGTGAAAGCGCCTTTCGTCCTGAGATAATTGACATCCTCCGGTGAAAGGGCCTTGATTGACGGCATCGGGACTAGGAAGTGATTATCTTTCGATGACCTGTTGGGTTCACAGATATCGATCAAGAACGCAGGACCACGTTGGTCTCCTAGACAGACCTGAGTGTAAGTGAAGAGCTATCTTGAAGCCATGCTTCTTCATGCATCATGGGACCAGGATAGAAGTTTTACCTGGATAGAATGGGACACATCCATCCTCGCGATTCTTGCCACCTTCCAACGTCTCAGCATACGCGGAGCTATCCTCAGTCGCGTCGGATGGATCCGGAGGCCGATGAGTTTTGGTAGGAAGCAGAGCCCGCACGGCATCGTAGGGCCGAGTGGTTGGCGCGTATGGCCCACCACCAACCGATCGTGTCTCGGCTGCGCGTGGGGACGTCGACGACCTCGGGCCGCCGTTGACCTGGGGGGTGCGCCGGTGATCTTCGGGCGGCGCGGACGTGACGCGGTCGTCCCGCGACTCAACAGCCTCTTCATTCTCTAGCATGCCCGAAGACAGCCCTGGAGTCTGGGGTTCCAAGAGCCGTCTTCTGGGTTGTGCTCTTTGTGGGATGATGATCAATGTGTTCTCCCCCCCACCTCCGCCTGGGGATGGGTTCATGGGGAGTTGATCCGAGTTGCTGCCTTTGTCAGGACAACTCACTACAGCTGGATATGGATACTACCGCAGGAACCCAGTAGTGAGGAAACTCACCGACGTCGTTTACGACTCAGGACCTCGCATGTAATCCCGTCCACGGAGCAGTTGGCGCAGGGAGGGCCAGATAACGTGACTGTGCATCTTACCTTGCGCAGATTGCAAGCCTTGCACGCTACGGCAGCACGCTTGAAGGTTCGGACCGCTGCGGCAGAGGGAGGGGAGGAACCCGTAGTGGTGGCCACGACAGCAGAGTCATTATGCTGCAGAGACATGTCGAGTACCTTGCTTGCGGCTTTCGCTGGAGTTCAAGGTGTAGAGTGAGAAACGCTATCGTTATCATCAGGTGAGATGGGTGCTGTGCCCTTCATGCATGCTAATTAATAAAAGTCAGGTTGTCCCCCATTTCCATTGGGACTAGTCACTTATCCAAAGTAAGGTAAGCTTCTGTAGAGGGGACTGGACGGATGCTCTTGTTGATGGGTGGGAGGTCAACAGGAGCTCAACATCTGTAAGTGAACAAACATGCTTGTGCTAGTCAGTCGACCGAGGATGTCGCTTAGGTAATATTGCAGGTGGCATGTGAGAAGAATCGGGGTTGACGGAGCTGTCCACTTTGTATTCACTCACACACAGTGTTGATGCGCTCCCTCCTTGTCCATTACACCACGTAGAATGCGGGGAGAAAGATGCTCCGAGGACAACTTTGAACTGCCGGTTGAGACCTTGGCAAAAGACTCTGACGGGAACGGTTAGGCCGTTGATCCTGGACGCGTTCTCAAACTTTGTGTGCCGCCGCGTTTTCTGGGGATGCCAGGTTGAAGTTGAGTTGCAAGCCACGAAGAAAGACAAAGTCGCGGTTGTGTTCCAGAGGTTCAGTAAATGTTCCAAAACGTCAAATCATTATTTCATTATCTTCTATACCCGTAAGCCATGTCCATAACCGTATCCGTAACCCATGAGTCGTAATATCATGTCCCATCGTGTGCCCTACGCCCAATGCACCGATTTCCTCTGCTTCTTCCTCTTGTTTCCCAACTCCTCCGGCACGCGTAAACGAGCGTCCGATATCATCATACCAAACGTCAAACTTGACGCGCGACTATGCGTACAGACAGTAGCAGTCCCGTCAAGCTCCCACTCCCACCGCGTCTTCTCAACCATATCCCCGGCCTTCCGGAGTTTCTGTCTCCACCCCTCGACAAACAACCACGCCAGACGAAACACGCTCTCGCCAGAGGGTTCCACGGGACCGCCGATTTCTTTCTCCTCCGAATTCCAAGGAACCGGCACCCGCAAGCCGCTCGGGTCTTTCCGATACTTGCGGCGCTTCGGACGATGTCGGTCCATCAACTCGTCATCTTCCTCCAACGCATCGTACTCGGCGTCCCGCTTCACCCTCACGACTCTGAGCCCCGCTCCGCCCGAGCGTGGTCAATTTGCCTCCAGCCCGCCAGCAGAGCTTCGTAGGAGTGCGCTCTGCTCGTCAACCTCGTCTTCGGCTTCATTGAGAAACCCTGCTTTGCGCTCGTATCCCCGCTCCTCGACGTCGTCGCCGCCGCCGCCGGGCTTGCTGCGCCGGACGGGGTGAAAAACACCCGAAACCGGTCGTGATCGGACCGGGCTGGCCGGCTCTTGCTTGGCTTGGTTGTTCTCGAAGATGCCGCGCATCCTGCTGATCAGGCTTCCAGGTGAGTTGTTCGTGGCCGCATTCCGCGGAGGGCTATCTGAACTAGAGCCCACGGAACCCGAGGGCCCACGAGCTGCCTTTGCGGCGTCTTCACCATCTCTGAATGGATCATATTCTTCGCGGTCAGTGAGCGAAGAGTCGTTGCGCGGCCTCGTCAAGTTCAAGTGATGGACGGAAGCCGGCCACGAGTCCCGAATCACCGGCTCGTGCTTGTCAGCGTGCAACGCCGAATGGATCGGCGATGACGCGACAGAGTCGAGTGTGCTCTGGCTTCGCATCGAGTGAGGCACCGAGTCGGCCCGGGCGTGCCAGGGAACGCTGGTCACATCGCGCGGGACCATGAGCTCGGGATCAAAATCCCCTTCGGCTTGCATAGTAGGCGGTGTCTGCGGTCGGTCAGGATTGTGCCTGCTGAACGCAAGTCCACGAGAGGGTGTCCCCTGCGACGACGAGGGCGTCGCCGGTGACTCCTCCTGACGCAATGCTAAGGGGCTGATATCCGGTGCTTGCTCACTTTGCTGTGGTGCCAACTGCGGAGTTGTCTGCTCCTGCTCCTCTTCCGCCTGTACCTCGGAAACCTGTACCTCGGGCTGCCACGAAGTCGCTTGTCCATATTGTGGCTGGAGATGTGTTTGGCCGTAAGGTTGCGCCTCGAACTGATCTTGTCCAAACCGAGATTGACCGTACTGCTGTTGGGCATAAGGGTCTTGTGTGTAAGTCTCGGCTGGTTGCTGTCCGTAATCGTCCTGGCCATGTATCTGAGCCTGCTCTCCTCTGTATGAGCCCTCAACGTGAGTGTCGGGCTCGTAAGTGGTCCGCAGAGGAGACGAGTAGCCGGCAGTTGCCTCTTGATGAAGCGATTTCTGCATCTCCTCCCTCAAGAGAGATCCCGAGCGGCTGTGTCTCGTCGCGCCGAACATGGTGGGTGAACGGAGCTCATCCCGCCATGTTGAAGCTCCGAAGCGGGAAGAGGCATACTGCGTCGGGTGATCATCCGGTTGCATGACCGCGGTCTTGGGGCCGTCATCTTCATCGCTGTCGAACGAGTCAATGACTTGCGTCAGCACGGGTTCGTTTGATGATTGCTGCTGCTGCTGCTGCTGCTGCTGCTGTTGTTGTTGTTGTTGTTGTTGTTGGGCACTGCCAATCTGGGTGAGGAAGGCCGGGGCTTCCGAGTGGTCATACTCGCTGTCATCATCCGAGTCGTCGTCTTGGGCAAGCTCGTCGGCGAGCGAAGTCTCGTGCGTTTGACCGTAGGGAGAGTTAGGGCCTCCTCGGTTGTATGTCTGATCATAGATATCCTTGTTGCCGATTGAATCTGGGTGACGGGGCGAGCCCATGGCCCCTTGCGTATACTGCGAAGACGCGCTGAACCCTGCCGAAGCTAAAGGGGTGGCGTACTCTTGTGAATCAGAATCCGTAAAGTCTCCTGGTCCAGCTGGCTGAAGATATGTGGATGCCGTGGAAATCTGGTCATTGCTCGCGTTCGGCCACTGCTGCTCGTAGCTGTCGACGCGCAGTTGTGGTGTAGGCATGGCGGTGGTGAACCTCTCGTCAACCGGACTGATCTCGTCACCGCCGCGCTTACCAATGTTCTCCCATGAATCATCGCTTTCTTCCCCGCCTTCTTCTCTTTGATGACTTTGTAGGTCCTGACTGCTTGTTGCCGGTACCGACTCCCTGAATGCTGACTCCGTCGGGTTGCTCTGCGCCAGTGGGCTGGCCAACCTCATTGGACTTGTCGATGCCAAGGGACTGGGTGCCCTCGTCGGGTTGATCGCCAACGGGCTCGTCGATTGCAGTGGGCTGGCGGCTCTCATCGGATTCGCGCCCAGCGGGCTTGCTGATCTTTTCGGGTCGACTCCCATCTGGTTGGTCCCCATCAGGTTGCTTGCTCCCATCATGCTCGTTGTCTGGCCATATCGATTAGCTTCCCATGCCTCCTCATTCCCCTCGCTGTCGGAGTCTTCAAGTTCTTGACGGTAACGATCCAGTGCGCTAGGGGCGCGCGGAGGCGGAGGCGGCGGCGGGGTCGCCCTGGACTGCGACGTCGATAGATTTTGTATCTGGCTGGGCCGAACGGCCCAGGCGTCCTCCTCCTGTTCGTCACTGGAATCCTCAATCTCCTGGCGGTATTGACCCTGCGAGCTTGATACCCGCGGAGGCGGGGGCGGGGGCGGTGTGGCCCTGAATTGAGATGATGATGAAATGGGGAACTGACCAGGTCGAGCAATATCGTGGCTGAAGGGGTGTTCGTCCTCACTTGAGTCCGCTTGCTCTTGATGATAGAAGCCTTGAGAGCTGGGGGCACGCGGCGGTGGTGGTGGTGGCGGAGTCGCCCGATATCCAGACGGTGACAGCGCACTAGGAAGAAGATTGGACTGAGCAGCGGCAGAGGGCAAGACACCTTGATCTTCCTCGTCCGAGTCCTCAACGTTGTAGTGGCTCTGTGACAGGGAACTGAGAGCACGGGGTGGTGGAATCGGAGGTGGACGCGGGGGTGTAGATCCAACCTGCGAGGTCGGGAATGTACTAGGCTGCGCGGGCTCGAAGGCGTCGTCCCAGTCGGCTTGCTCCTCTTCCGATGAGTCCTCCAGTGGCTGCTGAGCATAGTGACCCTGTGAACTTGGCGCGCGTGGCGGAGGAGGAGGTGGAGGAGTTACCCTGTACTGCGATGATGAGAGAGGGTTTGGCTGTGCTGGCGATTGTGCGTGAAAGATGTCGCCGTCATCCTCGGATGAGTCTTCAACATCTTGTGCATAGTGGCCCTGGGAACTAGAAACACGCGGAGGGGGAGGGGGAGGGGGGCTCGATCTGTACGGTGAAGACGTCAACAAACTATTGATCTGGCTGGGCTGAGGAGCACGAGCGTCCCAGTCCTCCTCTTCTTCAGAAGAGTCGTCATCGAATCCTTGACGGGACCGTTCTGCAATGCTTGGCAGGGGAGGAGGAGCTCGCTGTTGCGAAGCCGGCAGCTGCTGA